CAGAGAGGGCAGGGGAAAAGGAAGATGGGAATAGGTGTTGGATTAACCAACCAACAGTGTCTACATATATGTGGTATATAAGGCCTTCTGCCAAATCTCTCTGGCATTGTTTCTTGGTTCAGTCCACAGTGTCTCTAATTTTTACAGTACCCTTAGGCTAAAAGAAATGCCAAAAGTTCTATGTATTAAGTAGTTAGATCTAAACAATTTAGTAAGTATGTATTAGCAACCTAGTAACAGTTTTTTTAAACTATCCATAAATGGAAAGAAAATAATAATTTCATTTCATTCTTAAACATAATTTTTTACTAATGGAATGTGTGTGTCTGTTGGATACTGCACAGTTTCTCAAACATTAGGATTCAAACTGGGCACAACCACCCACAATTCCTGTTCCATACTGATTTTTACAGAGCACTTAATTTTTATCACAGCAATTCCTGAAAACCCATCTTCACAAAGATGTAACATCAAATGAACTGCAGCTATGAGCTACCTGCAGCTAGGAGTTTACATTGTGTCTAACAGATGCTATGTATCACTGTGTTTCTCTTAAAAATCATCTCATGGCACCCGTGTAAGTTCTCTGCACAACACTGGGATACCTTGGCACACAGGCTAGGAACTATAGTCTTAAGTTTCACTCAACTTCACCAGACTACCTGCAGATTCGTAACTATCTCCATGCTATTTGATACCTTTGGCTTTCCCACTCTTCTCTTTACCTGAAATGTCCCATATTTTTAAATGGAGGATATGTATTTACTTTTTAAGACATAGCTCAAGTGAAATCTCTTTTTATGAAGTAGTTAGTTAGAATACTGTTCCCTCCTGTGCTCCGTTATACCCTGCATATAACCTTTTTCTTACCATCTGTAATACTTTATTGAACTTAAGTATGTTACAGGTCTTTTTCCCCTCCTAGACTGTAAGCTTTGAGTGTAGGATGTTACCCATCTCTTTATATCGAGCTAGTTCAGCTTAGTGAGAGGCACATAGTAGAAATGTGATGAGTGAATCAATCTTTTCAAGCTGATACCAGTGACTATACCATGGATATAGTTCTTTGTAGTCTCAGCTTCACATGGATATTTTTTATTAGATTATCTGCCTTGGGCAAGCTCTGAGCTTTATCTCTTGCCCCTAACATGCTGTGAATCATCAGAGGTGGAAGTCAAGATCTCCGGGATTTGGCAGAAAAAATTCAGGGAAAAAGCATTTTATCTCAGTATTTTTGGTTGTTTTGAGATATTTAAGTATTCTGTTCAACACCTTAGTTGTTTCAGTATGGAGAGTCATCAGGGTATACCACCAGAAATAGAAATTTGCTCCTTAAGTTTTTATCGTTCTTAACTGTGTAGCCTTTTTAAAGGCCTGCATGTATGTTTCTCTTAAGGACAGTTTTTGCTGTAACCTTATCCCGATTTTAACAGAGACTGATTTGTACAAAGCCGAAGACTTTTAAGATTACTCAATTAAGTTATTTCGGCTAATAGTAGCCAGAAACAGCTTTTGCTTCTTATAAGTCACCTGCGCACTGAATTTCTTCTGCGTAGATCAGGCCAAAACTAATGGTCTTACTACATTTAAATAGCCTTAAATGAG